GTTTTTGTAAAACTCCCCAAGCCATTTGCAGAAAAAGATCGACTCATCAAAGGTTGGGGAGGGGAGAGAGTTTAGCAACTTTCAGTGTTAGTAAACATGGTATTTTGTTAGGGATTAACAGAAAATCGTGAATAAAATCATTGGGATTTGATAAGGGATTTTCCTCTCAATTTAAGGATTTTTTTCATTACCCCCCCCCCCACACACACACACAGTACTATCTAAAGGTCATCAGGATAGCACATTATTAGTCTCATTCCCTTAAAATAGCTGAAAAACAAAAGCCTTTAAGCTCTCTCTGCCCGCAGAGGCCTCTGTACACTTCATTTGCCATTTGGCATCTCTTCAGCAGGCGATAGTTTCTTTAATACCTCATACTTAATCTTCAATTTTCTTCTAAACATCTGGTATTGGATAGGCTGGAGCCTTATTTAGACAGTAACGAACTTTAGTGCTTTGTGGTCGGGACCAGCCAAGGAGAGAACTATTTTCGATTCAAAAGAATGATTCATTAAAAGAGATAATGAAAGTGATTTAAACTTTCCACCAACACATCGCTGGATAAATAAAGCTCAGTGCTCTCGGTTGAGGGTCATGGCTGAATGAAAATGCTAGAAAAAGGCAAAACAATACCAACTGCATAAATGGGTCAAAAATCGCCCTGGCACTTTGTCAAGCATGACCATTTAGAGTTTGACAAGCAAGCAGGAAAAAGGAGCTGCATTACAATCATGAGGAGCCCTCTGGGGTCAAACATTGACTTTCCATGTGATTCTTGCACTTATGTGCGCTTACGCAGACTTAGGGGAAAATCTGACTTTGAGCTGAAGTCTGGCTTATCGGATTACAGCTTAGGAAATCTCCCGTGTGCACAATCTGCCAGAAACAAGTATTGTCTCAGAAAGTAGAGTGAACTGCCCTACATTTGGTTAATAGAGAAATGCAATAGCGAGACAACAGAACTTCGATATTTGAGTATTTCTAGCTGAGAGTCAGGTGGTTAGAGGTCTTCCATGCCCCTAATGCACAGGAGCTGATGAGACCAGACACACACATGCACTGCAGAGTTCTGAACCGGTATATGGGTGTCCACCACCTTTTGAACGTAGGGAGTTTTATCCGAAATTCGCATATAAGAACTATGAATGAGATAGATTGGGTTACTGTCGTCCTCCCTGACTCAAAGACCTTAAGCGATATCCTGAGAAAATTAGGAAATCAAACACAAGATAAGATCTCATGGAAGATCTCAACCACAAAATGTAGCTAAAACACACACACACACACACACGCACACACACACACACACTTCATTGTGTTGAAGAGGTGGACAGTGACAGCCGCCATCAAGTTGGTTCTCATTCAAGGAAAACTATTCTCTATAGGGCTTTCAGTAGTTATTTGTTGTTGTTTTGTGTGTGTGTGTGTGTGTGTGTGTTGTGATTTGAGTGAAAGCTTACAGAGTAAAATACGTTTTCCATTTAATAATTCAGACACATGTTGTTTTGTGACATTGACTGCAAGCCCCACAATGTAACAGCCCCCTTTCCACTTCCTGGCTTTACCATTTTCATTCATCCTTTTTTCCTTTGCCTTCTGAGTGGCAACCTTAAACAAATGCTGCTCTTTATATAGCATATGGTTCCAAGGACGGATGTTGCCCAGGTATTATTGCTCACTTTATAGATTTTTCATTTGACTGAGAGTTGAGTTACAAGGGTGAGTTCACTTCCAGGCCTGAAGGGTGTCTAAGGGCCAGAGTCTCTGTGGTTCCACTAGCCTCTATCAGAACACTAAGCCTAGCCTTTTTTTTTTTTTTTACTGATTTTGAGATTTGGTCCCCATCATTCTACCATTCTACCCAAGACCTACTATGATCCCTTTCAGAGTGCTCAGCAGCAGCTGGGAAACATCTAGTTCTTCAGTTCACAGGACTCGCGGGTTCATTTATACTTTAGACGGATTCCTTGCATTGATACTGTCTTCGCTCTGCCTTGCTCCAGACTGATGAGGGTGGGGAAGGGAGGACAGAGACCCATCGCTGCATCTTAGTTACATGCCCACAAGGTTTGAAGACTTCAGTTAGTACCCACCACAGCAGAATGTACAATGTTTTTTTGTAGACTATGTTATGCCAAGAATAGACTAGGTTTGAGGGGAAAGAAGGGTAAATTAATAATGAACTGGTAGGCATATATTAAGTTGAGTGAAGAAAATAGTAATTTATCAGAAAGGAAGGGCATCACAAAGTGACCAAGGCAAATGATGCTGAGAGGAGCACAAGACTTACAGTCAGCATAGGTAAATACTAGGACACACCCAGTTCTACAATAATAGAAATAACAGTAAACTGCGAGTGGTGTTACAGATACTCAAAGTGAACAGGAGAGGAAGGCAAATGAGACAACAGCTACAAGTATATGTTTATGTTGGTTCGATAGAGCATATGAATTTCTATGTACTGGAAATCTATCCATGAATATGTTAGCACGTCCAGGAGGGACATTATGAAAACTTCTCAGCCATAAACAAATACCCTGAAATGAGTCACGGGGCATGGAGATTTAGGCCAATAGTATTGGGGACACCAAGGTTAATTTAAATCACGTAGATCACTGGCTGATTTTTCCAAAATAGCTGTTCGCACCGTCCTTCCATGACATCTGTGGGTGGGCTTTAACTTTCAACGTTAGAGACAGCAAGCAGGTGCATTAATCATGGGTTAACTTGAGAACGTCTGATGAGAGGAAGGGGCCCTAAAATTGTTCAAGCATAATGTTCTTCTTAAGGGACTGGTGCCTCTTGATAATATGTTCAAAATTTGTGAGGCAAAGTCTCATTCTCCTCATTTCTACAATGCATGGTTCTTCTAATATGTTTGCCAATGCTATGATTCAAATGCATCAATTATAGTCTGAGATAGTTAAAGTTTATTGTGCCAACCTGGCTGGTAAACACATGTGGGGTTAATTGAAGGACAGAGAGATAAATGTCTCGGTGAGCCTTACCTTTCTAGTTCTCGGGTCTCTTGCTTGCTGATGGTCGGACCAGGGTGAAGCTGTCTTAGCCAGTTCCCTGCTTCAGCTTGCAAGGCTCACTTCCTGCAAGACATCACTGAGAAGAAGCCACATGGACCTACCCCGATGCAGCCCTGGGTGCTGAAGCAGCCAGGTGGAGACCCCTGCCAGTGCTGAGATGCTTACACACTCATTGATTCAGCTTTCCTCCCGCAGACAGCGTTGTTGTGTCTGTTTTGTGAGATGCAGGAGGACTTTGTGGACTGGTGTTGGACATTTGGGTTAATGGGTTAATGTTGGACTTGTAGGCTTGGGCAGCACTGGGTTGGGATGCTTTCTTGATGTGCACTTACCCTTTACATAAAACTCTCTCTTATACATGAGTTTCTGTGGATTTGTTTCTCTAAAGTGCCCAGACTAACACAAGATGGCTTCATTATTCATTAGCAAGCTTTCACATGCAGCTGAGGCTATTGAAGATACCGTGGCTAGGGTCACCTTAGACCTTAATGTGACATCTATGCTCCTTAACACTTTAAAGTGACACTTTTTGCATCAGATTTCCCCAACAGGATAGGAATTGAATTCTTAATCACTGCTTCCAGGAACATTGATTGTGGATTCAAGTAAAATGAAATCTTTGACATCAATATCAATTTTTCATGTTTATTATGAGCTTGTTAACTAGTTCAGTTGTGAGGATTTTTGTTTTCTCTGCATGAGGGATAATCCCTACTAAGCTTCCAGTCTGATCTTCATCATTAAAGCTTCCAGTCCTCTTAATTTACAGCAAGCAACATTGAGTCATCTGCACAACCCAGGTTGATACAGAAACTTCTTCAGGGTTGGGTTCATGGTCTTCTTCAGATAGTTCAGATTCTCAATGTTGTTGGTCAGCATCCAGACTGAATAAGTATGGTTAAAGATACCACCCTGATGGATACCTTTCCTATTTCAAACCACTGCACGACCGCTTGCTCTGTTTGAAAGACTGCATCTTGGTTTATGACATAGAGCCCAGCATGTTGTTCAATAACTCTTACTATGAAGGCTTCCTTTCTTCTAATGAGCCAAAGATGTCTTAGCCACGAACTAACGTCCATTCTCTTTAGAAAAATCACCCAACACTACATGTCTCTCATGCAGGACAGCCTTTTGAATAGCATGTCTCATGCTGAATCCTCTCATCCTTATAGTTGGTCAGTGCAAATGACAGCATACAAAGTGAAGTGTGGTTGAGGAGAGGAGAGTGGAAAATTGCTAGGGTGCAAGGAGAGGGGATGAAAAGAAAATAGAGAATGGAGAATATGGCAGAGTTGGGGCTATTTTTCTTCATCAGATGGTTTCTTTTCATTTGGGTTTGTTAACAATAGAACTAAAAACTGTAAGTAATGGGGAGTGGGCCATGAGAACTTACTAATGCACATCTACAATTCTTATTTAAATGCTATCAATGATTTCACTGATGCCTTTTATAGGATTTTAAAAAAATGTTTTTGGTGCAGAATTGAATTCTGAATTATATATAGCTATCAGTTTCCTTTGGTTCGATTTAGCCTCCGTTCTCCAAGTTTTGGGTTTGTGTGTGTGTATGTGTTTGTGGTTTTTTTTTTTTAAGTATACAAGTCAGGGGGAAAAACAGAATACAGGTCAGATATGTTCTAAAATGTTCCCCCTTTGGGGCTTGCTGGTTTTCCTCATGATTAAATTCAGGTGAAGCGCTTTGGCAGGAATACTCCAGACGTGACGCTTTCTCCTTGGTGCCACATGGGACGGGGCACATAATGAAGACTTGTCCACTCACTAGTAATGCCAGCCTTGAGCACATGGTGAAAGGAGACATCTGCCAGTGATTTCAACTGGAAAGTTCTTCTTTCCCCTTTTTAATTCATAAGACTCATGTTGCCGATACTTTGCACAATTTTCTGGCAGTGTGACCCTGGAGATCCTGTGGTTGACATTGCCTTTCCCCTTTGATTTCAGAGTCCAACGGCCGCAGGGCAGTAAACAGAGGCTACGTTGCCAGCTTACTGAGGCTGCATCAGGACTGGCACAGCCACGACACAGGTAACATCTATGTGCAGATCCGCCAGGCACTTCTGCTTTGCCTCAAGCACATTGCCAACCTCCAGTCTGGCAGAGAGGCCTTCCTGGCAGCCCAGGGCATGGAGATCCTCTTCAGCACCGCACAGGTAATCTGAATTGGGGTGACCTCTGTAGTTAGGTAATAGCTGGATGATTCCTGCAGCTTGCCCTTCAGGAATGATTGTGAACAGCAAAGTGACTCTTTTCCAGTTATTTTCCTTTTTTTCCCCCTGACTCCCCTGGACAGATACTCTGTATTTAAATCCTCATGCATTCATTCACTCCGTGGTGCATGCATTTAACCAATATGCATCTCCTGAATATACATGGTCATCATTGCTATAGGACTAAAAGCCTTGCCCCTAAAGTGAGAGCATGTGGAGTCAGACTCTTCCTCCACAACGACAGCTATGAATGTTTGGAAACTCTTCCCAACTACTTAAGTTTCTTCTTACAAAAACTGGAAGTAATCAAATCTAGATCATCATGTAGGCTAACTAGTTTAACGTGGGAATATCATGTGTGTACATGAGCTGCATTATGAGTGTGAGTCAACACTGGGATAATTTACGTGGGGTCTTGAGCGATGAGGAACTCCGGTGGTGTGCTGCGTTATGCATTAGATGGCTCACCTCAAGGGCAGCACTTGAAACCCACCAGCTGCCCTGAGGAGGAAAGACGGGGCTCCTTACTCTCCTAAATGATTTACAGTCTTAACCAAAAGGGGCGCTTCTGCTCGGTCCTATAGGACTACTCTGAGTTGGAATCAGCGCCATCGCAGTGGGTTTGTTTGCTTGTTTGTTTTTATCTAGTGGTGAATACACCAGGCCAGACCCACGATCTTATGAGGTAAACATCCTAAAAGAAGAGACAGACAACATATTAGCAAGTAATTCAATGAGGAAGATAATGATATATTTTTTCTAGGAAATAGGAAGAAATAAACAAGGACATAGGGTTACAGTGACTGGCAGATTAGGCAGCAGAAGGTGATGTTTTAAAGAAGTCAAATCCTCTCTGAGCAGATGACCCCTGACCTGAGATATGAATGATTGAAGGTCTTGCCAAGTTAAAGGGGGAGAACATCCCGGGGAAATCGAATAGCACCTGCAAGGTCCGTCTGTACCCCAATAGAAACTGTAGTCTGCTGCTTCCTACATTGCACCCCAAATACCAAATCCCTTAGGTTCACTTGATTAGAGCCAGTTTAAACCCAATAGGACGAGGCAACAAATATTCTCTCTCTTGATGATGTGAATAGCTCCCAAATACGTGTTGCCTGTTCAGCCGTCTCCCGGGGCCCTTCTGTTCTTTGTTGCTTTCCGGTTACTCCATCTCACCACTCCTTTCATTCGTCTTCTTCCTTCTCTCTGGATTTTCTCCAATTTTTCCTCCACTTGAATACACCCGAGGTAATGAAGAAGCCAACAAGAATGCCATTTTCTAACATGGAGTCTGTAGAGTTTTCCCATTAAAAATAGCCTCTTTCCGCTCCCTCTATCACAACAGCATAATACTGTACACAAACCAGTATCTAATTTTCTGTCTGCTTTCACCTCTGGGTTTCTCCCCATCGTCACTTCTTTCAGAATGTTTCGATCATGAAATAGCTGCATTTTACATTCTCCTTTTCTGGAGAAACCACTGCTTTGAAACTTCCCAAGTTCTGCCATACTTTGTGGCCATCCATCTCGCTAACGTCTCCCAGTCTTTGTGACACCCGGTCCCACACGGATGATACCTAAATCCCACCATTCCAGAGTTATGTTCTACACGCTTCTTATGCCCTTTATATTCTTGGTGGTTAAGTGCTTTGTGCTATAAAAAACAAACAAACCCAAAAATCAATTAAAAGGGAGATAAGGAAGAAGATGATGATCCCAGGGGCATATGTTTATAATAGGAAGTTGTTAGTTGTCATTGAGTTGGTGTTCACGCACAGGCCCTTATAGACAGAGTGAAATGTTGCTCAGTGCTACATTACCCAGACATGGACATTCTGGTTGAGCTCATGACTGTTGCCACTGTGTCAATCCAGCTCATTGTACTGCTCCGCAGCTTCTTTACTGAGGATGCTCTCCTTCTTCAGCGATTGGTCCTTCTTGATAGCATGCCCAAATTAAGAGGTGACGTCTCAGCATCCTGGCTTCCAAGGTGGGCATTTGACTGCCCACCATCCAGAACTGCTTTGCTCCTTCTCCTAGTTCACAGGAGGGAGGAGAAAATCCCAAGGGAAAGCTGGATGGATAGAAGAAGGGGTGGGAGCTTGTAAGCAGGGTATTAGAAGCAATTCCTCAGCAGACAAATGAAGAACCCAATTTAGCAAGCTTAGAAGATTTCATCTTGCAGGTAATGATGGGAATAGAAACAGTATTCAACTGTACCTTGGGGCTCATTTAATGAACCTTATTGGTGTTATATGTGTTAGTCTGGGTTGACTAGAGAAACAAATTCATAGACACTCGTATGTGTATAAGAAAGAATTTTATATACAAGAGCAATTGAATGTTGAGAAAACATTCCCGCCCAGTCCAGATCAAGTCCATAAGTCTGATATTAGCCCATATGTCCAATACGAATCTATCAATTCCTGTTCAGATTCAAGAAACATATACAATGTCGCCTAATGCAGGAAGATCACAATCCAGTGATCTGCAAAGTTTTGTGGATCCAGTGGTGGTATAAGCATCTCAGCTCAGGCATGAGTTTCCACATAGTTCCTCTAGCTTCAGGGCTCTAGTGTAGCTCCATGGGTCTTGTCACCAGGAAGACGAAGCAGAGAGTCTGTGTGTATCTGGCCTCCAGTGAACTGTTTATCTTGATGGTACCTCCAAATGAGGTCATCAAGCTGTGACATGAACAACAGGCTAGACTCCACCCCTTCTTCACAAGTTGACAGGAGATTATGTAACTGCCACAATATGCGACATAGGTCCAGAAGAGGGTCTATGTAACAGTATTAAGTAAATAAGAGATGGCATGCTAAAATTTATACTCAAAGAGTGTCTGTAATCTAAGAATCAGATCTGTTTATCTATCTATCTATCTATCTGTCATCTATCTATCTATCTATCGATCTATCTACCATATATGCTTGAGAATAAGCCAACCCAAATATCAGCTGAGGTACCTAACTTTACCACAAAACATGCATGTAAAATGTGCTGAAAAACTCAGCTTATACACAGTATATACGGTATCTTTCTATCTATCTATCTAGTAAATTTACTACAGTAATATCCCCTTCTTCAGTTCTTACTGTTGCTTTTAGCTTTTAAAACAATGTGCTAGCTAGCAAATTTCTCCCACAGTAGGTGCTGTCAAGCTTGGGTGCAAGGTCTGATATTAGATATTCTTTTGTGTTTAGAAAATGATCCTTTTAGTTGAAATATACACCATCTTGGCTTAGACACCAAACTGGTTTATCATTCTGCCCTGGCAGAAGTTTCAGTGATAGTCAAGAGTCTATCAGCACCTGGGCTAGGGGCTTTGCACATGGGTGCCATTGCAGTGGGGCTATGACCCCATCAACCCCATTCTCCTTCCCTGAGATCAGTAGGTATTTGGTAGTTATGATGATAATGAAGATAGCATAGGATGATTATTATGAAGAAAATAGTTCCTTTGTATTGAGTGCTTACTTGAGTCAGGTCTTATTGTTCTTAGGCACCACCATGTCAGCTCGGACTCACGGAGACCCTGCATACAAAATAATGAAACACTTCCCAGTCTTGTGCCATCCTCATTATTGTTCCTGTGTTTGCGCCCCATCCAGCCACTGTGTCAATCTCTCTTATTGAAGGTTTTCTTATTTTTTCACTGCTCCACTACTTTATCAAACATGATGTCCTTCTCCAAGGACTAGCCTCTCCTGATATGTCCAAAATACATGAACCAAGTCTATCTTAGCATTTTAAAGATTAAAGGAGTTTCCTGTGGCTACTGAAACAAAGAACAACACTTTAGCTGGCTTCATGACAAAATAATAATAATTTATAAATCATCAAGGGTTCATAAAGGAGGGGGTGGCAGGGAGGAAGGGGAAAAACAAGGAGCTGATACCAAGGTCTCAAATAGAAAGCAAATCTTTTGAGAATGAGGAGGGCAACAAATGTACAAATGTGTTTGACACAATGGATAGATGTATGGATTGTGATGAGTTGTACGAGCCCCCAATAAAAGGATTTTTAAAAAACCCCAAATATCATGAATTTGTTATTTTACAGTTCTTGAGGCCAGAAGTCTCAAGTCAATGCATCCATGTATCACCAAGGCTCTTGGGAGAAGACTTTTCTTTGTCTCTTCCAGCTCCTTAGTTTGTGGCAGCACAGCTACCTCTGTCTTCACATGATGTGCTTGTTCCCTGTGTGTCTACATAACTCCGTGTGGCTTCAGCAGCACCAGGGAACTTGAATGACAAGGCATGAAGATCTGGGGGTGAGGCTTTCCAGTGATGAAGTTGAGGTGGTGCAAACAGTTACCACAGTCAGGTGCCAAACAAAAGGGTGGAGGCTCGAGTCCATTTATATGTATGTTGAAAGATACACCTGGAAACCAACTTTGAAAAAATCATGGCAAAATCTTATGGGGCAGGTCTAACCTGAAACACAAAGGGTTATTCCGAGTAGCAGTCAACTCGGTGGCAATTATTCTTATGACTTTTAGCAAGGATTGTGTCGGGGGTGGGCTGGGCGCGTGTGAGAAGCTTGGGAAACAGTGTGATGGAGCATGGAGAAGGTAGGGTGAGAGCATGAGCTAAAACTGAGACACAGGTTGAGACCAGAGCATTTATTGCTTCCGGAACCATGTGTGTTAGTCTGGGTACTTTAGAGAAACAAATCCACAGGAACTCATGTATAAGAGAGAGTTTTATATAAAGGGTAAGTGCACATGAAGAAAACATCCCAACCCTGTGCTGCCCAAACCCAGAAGTCCAACATGAACCCATTAACCCATATGTCCAACGCCAATCCACCAAGTCCTCCTCCATCTCACAAAACAGAGGCAATGATCCCGACTGCAGGAGGAAAGCTGAGTCAGTGAATGTGTAAGCATCTCAGCGCTGGCAGGGGTCTCCACATGGGTGCTCCAGCACCCAGGGCTGCATCAGGGTAGGTCCATGTGGCTTCTCCTTGGGGATGTCTTGCAGGAAGCCAGCCTTGCAAGCTGAAGCAGGGAACTGCTAAGGCAGCTGCACCCTGGTCTGGCCATCAGAAAGCGAGAGACCCTTCAACAAGAAAGGCGAGGCTCACGGAGCCATTTATCCCTCTATTTTCACCATGTAATTTGAGTCAGTGAGATGACCTGATGTGACTGGTGCTTTTAAATGACCACCTGCCTTCCATGTGGAGAGGAGACTTATCCACGGGTACCAGTGGAAGGAGGACACTCGAGGGTAAAGGGGGAGGAACTTAGAAACCACTTACAGATGTTCAGTGGGAGATGCTGGTAGCGCTGGCTAACTACAAACAGAACTGGACCTTAGATCCAAGACTTCTGACTCTCATTGTGTTTCCTATTCCATTAGAACGCACAGTCTCTGATCAGCTATGACGCCTGCCCTCTGCATCTAATACGTTCAGGTTTCCCTTTTTCTGATTCTAACATTTTAAACTAAGTTTTTGAGGCCATTTGATCAGTTTCATGAGTGAAACAACCTTCATGAATTCATGTCACTTAGAGTATTTGCTACTGTAGCGCTTAAATTGTTAGGTTGTGACTGCGGATTGGTACCATTTGATTACACTGAATGGGAGATTACATTATTGGTTGACTGAAGATGTTTCTGTCTTGAAAATTGGCTAACTGCTCTTTACACTCTTTATTTTTCCTTCATGACATATTTTAATAGCTGTTCTTTTTTCAGAGCAGTTTTAGGTTTTTAGAAAAATTGTACATTCAATACAGAGAGTTCCTATTCAAGATTTCTCCCTCAACTATATAGTTCACAGTTCTTGCAATCGATGAGCCAATATTAATATTATTATTAACTAAATCTGCTGTTGACATTAGGGTTTGCATTTGCATTGAACAATTCGATGGCTTTCAAGAAATCATCGTGCCATATGCTCACCATTACAGTATCATAAAAAAATCATTCCACAAACCGAAACATGCTGGTTCTCATACATGTTGGCTTACCCAATTTCATAGCTAAAAGATGGAGGTACTTGACATGTGCATGGGAGATTCTTATAGCATAACTCCATAACAGACATTCTTGTCCTATTGTGGTTATCTAGTGTCCACCATATCTACTCTTTGACCCACTGGCTTTAGTGTTGCTTAGATATCCAGCTTTGGTTCACATCTGTCAACATTTTGTACCAAGCTAATGGACCAAACATTACCTAAGATATTGAAGAAAGTGACCATGTTTTGCCAAAGTGACTCCAAACTGCCCCCAACTTTATCTCTCTGACTGGTTTATAAACTTGTTTTTATATAAAAGTGTGTCTGAAAAAAGGGGGGTTTTGTCTGATTCTATCAATATCAAAATATTACATCTGCAAGTCCAATTTTCTTTTGTTTTGGCTAGAGACCAAGAGAGATCAACACTAGATGCTTTGAGAAAAGGCTGTTTATTTAATTTAGTTACTTGGGATTCACTTAGTCTTTTCATTTACTTTTTTCTTGATTTCACAATTTGTCTCTCTTATCTTTTTGTTTTACATTTTTCTCTCAAGATTGCAGAAGAAAGAAATGCAACACTGCCATCAATTCAGTAATGCATCCCCCAACTGAGGAACTAATTCACAGTGACACATGTCCTTATCCTGGACAATGTCTTCCCTTAAGTGCAGCATCCCTTAAAAGATGAAAAGCCTATTTTCTAACTAAATTCATTGTAAGATAATGTGAGCTGTGAAAAAGAAGCAAAACTTTTGATTCTATATTAGACCAAAGTAGCGGTGATGGGTCTTGACCATCCAGTGTGTGTAATTAATTGCCTTAAATCCTGTTACAGCGCAACATCTCAGTGTCTGATTTTTCCTTTGCTCAGACCTGCTTGGATCAGAAAAGAATGGAGCCCATCATCTCCACGGCGCTCCAGATCTTGAGGCAGTGCTGCCCTAAAAGCTCTCTTCCCTTACCTACCATCAGTAGTGCTTATGCCTTTCCTGTTCTTGGAAGTACCAGCTCTGAGCTCCCACCTGTTCTAACTGAAGGTAAAGTCAGGGGATAACAATAAGCTTTAATGTGAGTGCTTACATTTGGCACTGTTTCAGAGGACCTGGGATTAAAGTAGAATCTATTGTTTTACATGTCAGCAATGATTGTCCAACAAGCTGATTAAAATACGCATGAGAGAGTATATGTATATATATATCAATCAAATACAAAGCTCACTTACTTTGTCCTTAATTACTAATGCTACTTTGCCTGGTAACTTTTTAGTGCCTGTATAGTCATCTCAGCTAATTTAAAAATCTGTTCACAATCTCATGATCTGGTCTGTCCACTGCCCTGACTGGTTCTGAAATTATTTTGCCCTAAGGATCAAATTGAAATACAACTTCTGCTATTTACAACCCTGTCCTTGTTATATTGGAATTCTTATAATCATGAGTATTCAACCTCTAAGAAGATATTGCTATCAAAATATCCTGGTGCCTTTTGACCACCTCCTGTTTTTCACAAGGCAGACTTTTCCTGAGGCACCATTTCAAAATGACACTTGGTGCTTTCTTTGGGCTTTTGTTTTAAATAATTCCTTCATCCCAAAATTAGAGAATTAATCAAGATGATACACAAGTTTCAACAAATTGTTTAAGTAAGTGATCTCCAAATGATAATGATACTACTTGCATAATACTTGTAAATTGGATATGAGAATGCTAAATATGGGTCTAGTCCCAGCTTCCATAGAATAGCGTTCATTTGTGCCATTTTATCTGAACTCATTTTCCATTCAATGTGGAGCAATGGTTTAGACTGCATCTAATAGTGCTCTCAAATTGTGTGTGTACAGCCTTTACAATCACCAATAAACTTTAAAGTACCTTAGAATATTGTGCATTAAATAATGAACCCTTTCGTTGGGAGAGGAAGAAATAATAGTTGTGTGGCAAAACCTCGAATCCAAGGTAAAGGGAAAACCTCACTAATTTCAGCCCTTTTTCCCCATCCAGAGGATTTCGAAGATGATGGCGATGAAGAGGTAGACAAAGACTCTGATTCTGAAGACGGGAAAGAGGAAGTAGGTACACCAGCCCTTCCTTCTAATGACCTCCATGTTCACGTCTTGCAAAGAAAAGCTCTTCTTTCATTAGTCTAGGGCCAGTGAGAATTTTATAAACCTACTTTAGACTCCACTACCTGACAGGGAGAGGGACACTCAAGAAATGACAGCTGTCATTCTGTATTTCCAAAGTATCGTTTTCTTCTTATTAGATTGCATATAATGCCTTCTTTAAAGTCTGAGACCCATTCTGGACACATAAATGCTCCTTGCAGATCCAACGTATGCAGACATTTGCTGTTTGGGATTGGCATGTGTAGTAAATATGTATGGCAGTCAGTCAAAGAGATCATGAACGTGAATGACCAGAAATCCTCTTCTAGTAGTTCCGGTGGACCCAGCTTCATTAGTGACTTTTTATGCACGCGTTCTTCCCAGGGTTGCCACGTTGTACAATTTCACTCACTACCATCATGGTGAACACCCTTTGCAACAGGGAAGCAGTGTCACTCAGTCCTTATCTGATAATTGTCTATGCTATAGAAGAAAGCTTTGAAAATGTTTCCTGTAAAGGACCAGATTGTAATTATTTTAGGCTTAATGAGCCATAGAGTCTCTGATGCCACTATTCAACTTTGCTATTGAAGTGGGGAAGTAGTCATGGACAATATGTGCAGGAGTGGGCGCAGCTGTAATACAATGCATCTTCACTTGCAAAAACAGGCTGTGAGCCACAGTTGCTCACCTCTTTTAGAACAGGGTTTTACCCTTGGCATTTTGGACTGAATAGGCATTTCTTATGGGGGCTTGTATTATAAGATGTGGAGCAACATCCTTGGCCTTTAGCCACTAGATACCAATAGCACTTACTCCTACCAATTGAGGAAACCAAAATATCTCCAGACAGTCTCAGATATCTCTAGGAGGCAACATTGCTTCTGGTTGAGAACTATTGCATTACAATCATCATCATCTGACTGCAAGCGAAAATTCTGTCTCCATTTCTGTTGGTAAACATGGAGTTACACAAGCTTCCTCAATTTACAGTTTCTTAATTTTAACATCTGCAAAATAATTCTGCGATGCAAACACTGCTTTGGGTGAAATTCTTGGGCATGAAAATAGAATTTTAAAAAACATATCTATCTTCTGCTGGGAATCCCTGGCTGGTGCAAAAATTTAGTACGCTTGACTACTGACCACAAGTTCGCAGGCTGCTGACCACAAGCCTGGAGGGAGAAAGGCATGCCAATCAACGAGGGTAGGTCCCAAAGAAATGCCGCAAACCGATAGAAACATTTATTAAATAAGAATAAAACAATGTAAAGATATTGCTTATTGGCATATAGTCTATATTCCACTTAAGGCAGTGTTTCCAGATCTCCAGCCTACCCTGAATAGTGTTGCATTCTTTGATTTACACCTCATCAAAATAACAGTTTGGGCACCCTTGAGGGAATCAAGTTGCTTTTCTTTTCAATGTTCTTTGAGTTTGGGAACAAAAAGCAGTCTGAGGGGACAAGATCAGACCTATGGGGTGAATGATGGAAGGTTTCCCAATGAAAGTCTTGTAAGACTTGCTAGACTCAAATAATAAGCAGGCGCTTTATCATATGGGGTGGGGGGATTATCGGCTCAATTTTCCTTGTCTTCTCTCCCCAATGCATTTCTCAGTTGTCTTTAACAAATTCTTTATAACAAGCCCCTACAAGAAAATCTATCATAGTTATCCCTTTGCAGGTCCAACAAAGCAGTCACTTTAACCTTCTGAGCTGACCTCCCTACCTTGACTTAGGCTGACCCAGCAGACTCCTTCAGAAGCCAGTTTTGATTGGGTCTTATTTGAATGCATTGTAGCAAACTAAGACAGTTGTATTGCTGAGAGAACTTGTCTTCAGCCACCCACTGATTGCAGAGACATGTCTAAATAGCTTTTGTTTGAAAAAACACACACATGTGCACTACAACCAGAGTAGCAATACTCTTTGGGTTGTCCTCATGTTTTTAAAGAAAATCAACCATTAAAAAATGTGTGTACAACTCCACCCTGACCTATATGTATGTGGTCACCATGAATTAGGGTCGACATTATGACACCTGGAGATTTTTTGGTTTTGTTTATTATTAACAATTTCACTGGAGAAAGACAGGGTTTTCTACCCCCACAAAAGCTAGTCTTGCAAACTCACAGGGGCAGTTCTACCTTGCCCCATAGTCATTATGCGTCAGTACTGGCTTGATGTCAGTGTTTTTATTATTTGTCTATCAATGAGCTCTGTTAAGACCTCTGCTTCTAATCAGAATGTTGGCAGATTGGACCCACCCATGGCTCCATGAGAAAACAATGTAGCAATTTGCTTCTGCACAGATTTATATCCTTGGGAACCCTATAGGGAAATTTTCCTTTGTCCTCTATGGTAGCTCTGATATGGAAATCAGCCAACCAATAAATATATCTATCTGTCTGTCTGCCTACTTGCCTATCTATCTATCTAGAAAGGTTAGGACTCTGAGTTCAATGTTACATTAACCATTCATCTTGCCAATGGTAGGAGCAGATACACAGAGACTATCTCTTGGCCATATCTTAGACTTCTATTCACCATCTAGTTTTCCCAGGGCTTTGCTGATAGAATCATTTCAAAAGTCAGCAGCAGAAAATTTGTTCTTTTGAGTGGTGCAAGCCTGTACAGTACGTGCTAAATTATTTGAATAATACTGTGCTATTGCAGTCATTCATCAATGCCACGTTTCCTTCCGATCTTGCCTGCTCTTTGATAACTGAATGTCGGCTGCAGAGCATCAGCCAGCTCTTCCATCTGATGGAGACAGACAAGGCCTGGCTTCACGCAGAGTTGGGGAAGGGGTTTCAGGCAGTCTTCGACACTCCCCTGTAACTGTTGTACATGCTGGTGGCAGGGGGAGTAGTGTGGAACCTAAACAAACAAATAAATGGAAGTAGGCAAGAAGCACACTACAAATCTACTCAAGGAAAAGATACGGAGTCAGTTTGTCAGCGGAGTTGTACAGGAATGGGAATGGTGGAATGAGGGTCTGGTTCCAGAGTATGGCAAGAGCAGGGAACTGGCGCTCCAGGAAAACGTGCTTTCTGGATGACCCTGATAGCTTTTGCTTCAAGAAGTATGAATGAGTATCCACCCATGTTTTATTTCTGGTCACAGAAACTGATGCAGGACTTTAATTTCAACCTTCTCATTTGCCGATCTTTCCTAATATTTGAAACTAACCTTTTAGGAAGAATGATTATAAAGAGCTTTGATCAGTAAAGGATTTTGTGAATGGAAAGTTAGGTTTCCTGCTTTGATTGAAAATTGAGAAGGCCAACATAAGAACAGAGCATTCAATGGAAACAGATCAGATGCTTACCATATATATAGTTTTTCTTTAAAAAAAAAAATCATTTTATTGGGGGCTAGTTCAAATCTTATCACAATCCATTCATACATCCATTGTATGTCAAGCATATTTGTACATTTGTTGCCATCATCATTCTCAAAATATCTGCTTTCTGCTTGAGCCCTTGGCATCAGCTCCTCATATTTTCCCCTCCCTCCC